TGTTGCTGCTGCTGCTGCTGCTGTGCCTGGGCTTGGGCTTGAGCCTGGGCCTGCGCATGGGCCTGGGCCTGCGCATGGGCCTGGGCCTGCGCATGGGCCTGGGCCTGCGCATGGGCATGTGCATGGGCCTGAGCCTGAGCATGGGCTTGCGCGTGTGCTTGCGCATGCGCCGGGGTAGATCCCGCATGATGGGGCTGGCCATGGGCGGCCGGGTGCGACGGGTGCGACGGGTGCGACGGATGCGCGGGGTGTGGCGAGGGAAGCTGAGACGGCTGGGTCTGCTGCTGCATGCTGCCATAGCCGGCCGAGGTCATGCCCATTGAGGGGTGCGGAGAGGGACCTCCCGCGGGGCCAAGACCACCCGGATGCATGTGCCCATGTGCACCTGGGTGCATTTGCCCATGCGCGCCAGGGTGCGGCGACCCCATGGCTCCGGGCCCGACAGCTGCCGAATGCTGGTGGACATACTGCTGTGGCTGCTGCGACTGCGGTGGCTGCGGCTGCTGCGGCTGCGGCTGCTGCGACTGCGGCTGCTGCGACTGCGGCTGCTGCGGCTGCTGCGGCTGTGACTGGGCCATCGGCTGCGGCTGGCCCGGCATGGAGCCCGCATGGCCGGGATGCCCCAGATGCCCGGCGCCGGAAGCCGCGCCACTGCCATGCATGCCTCCATGCGCGACCCCGTGCGCCCCGACCATGTGCATCGGGGGCTTTGGTGGGCCGGTCGGCCGGCCGGCCGACATGGAAGCTGCAGCGGCCGCCGCCGCTGCCGCCACGGCCTCCGATGCGGACGAGGGTGGCGGCTGCGGCGCCGACTGTGCATATCCATGGTGGGGCTGATGCTGCGGGTGATGGTGGTGATGATGGTGGTGATGGTAGCCAGTCGGGAGGGAGGGCGTCCCGCGGAGGGGCCCCTGCACCGGGGACATCGGGCCGCCAACGCGGATGTCGGACGCGGCAGCCGCCGCCGCCGCAATCGCCGACTGCGCGGTCGCCGGGCCGGCCGAGGCCCCATCCAGCGGACGATACCCAGCACCGGGATGGCCGGCCTGTGGTCCGGGCCCGCCGGGGCCGCTGCCGCCGCCGCCACCACCACCACCGCGAGAAGGCCCAGCTGGAGGGCGTCCAGGCGCGTTGGTTGCCGGGCTGGCCCGCGCCGGGAACCCATGTCCCGGCCCCGGCCCCGGCCCCGGCCCGGCCGAATGCTCGACCGGAACCCCGGGCGCTGAGCCGCGCGGGCCACCATACTGGCCGCCGTATGGCTGGCCGGGACCCGGCCCGGGGCCGGGCAGCCCCTGCTGCGGGGGATATTGCCCCGGGAACATGGACTGCTGTTGGACCGGCACCGGGGCCGGCACCGACCCCGGGGGACCCTGCGGCGGGTACTGCACCGGGGCCGCTGGCTGCTGCGCCTGCAGCGGGATTTGCGACGGGGCCGCCTGTGGCTGCGCCTGCGATGCCGCCACCGGCACCGGCGGCGCCGGCTGTCCTGCCGGATATTGGGACGCCGGGACCGGGGCAACCACCACCGGCGCGGGGACCGGACCAGCGGCCACTGGCACCGGGACCGGGGCCGGCGCCGGTGGCATCGGCTGCGGGCCTGGGCCCGGGCCGGCGCCGGCACCGGCACCGGCACCGGCACCCATGGTCATGTCCCGGCGGTTGCGCTGGATCAGACGCTGGAAGATGCCCACCGAGCTGGGCGACAGGGTGTACAGGTCGCCGGCCGGAGCGGCCGTCGCCCCGGGGCCCGAGCCAAGCATCAGCTGGAGCTGCCGCTCGGACAGGGCATTGGCCTGGCTCAGGGTCAGCAGGGCCCGACGGGCCGAGTCGGCCGCCGCGGCATGGTGCGACTCGTGCGCCTCCGGCGCCAGGAGCACCGTCGGCATGTCCAGGCTGCCGGACCCCCGGGGTAGCTCGGCCGGCGTGCCGTCCACCGGAACACCGATCGGCGGCCGGAAGAGCCGAGTCACCCCGCGCGGGCCGTCCGCCAGCGACGCCTGCGCCAGGGCCCGCGACAGGAGCAGCCCATTGCCGACGGTGGCCCCGCCGGCGTTGTCCGCCTCCGGGGGGCCATTCTCCAGGGCGGTGGCCTCACTGAGGAGCATGGCCAGTGGGTCGGCTCGGGCGCCGGCGGCGGCCGCCGCGGCAGCCGCAGCCGCAGCCGCGGCCGCGGAGGCCGTGGGACGACGTGCCACCCGGGCCCCACCGGCCCCGGTGTCCGTGGCCTTGGTGCCAGGCGTGGCCCCGGCCCGCGCGGTCGTGCCCTTGGCCGGCGCCGCCGGGGTCGTGCCCGCCGTGGCCGGCGCCGCCGGTCCCACTGCGCCATACTGCAACTGCCGAGGGCAAACACTGTCCGTGGTTCCCGGGCGCGGGTGCGCCAGCCGGCGGACATACGCATCGAAGTCCGCCGGCATCAGGGCCCCGAGAACCTGGGCCGGCTGCGACCAGGCCGGGTCCTCCAGCCCGGCCGACATGGCGAAGTCCAACAGCCGTGACGAGCGCCCATGCGGTCCGGACAGAGTCCCGGCCGCGGTGCGCGTGGGGACCAACATTTCGGACACGGTCTCCAGCCGGACCAGCTCCGACACCGGCTGGCCGGCGGCGTCCAGCAGCGGCGCCGGCGCCGGTGTCGCCGGGGACCCCAGCTCCGGCAGGACAATCGCAGCCCCGGCCCCAGGGGCCAGGGGCGTCGGCTGCTCGGGCTTCGGCGCCAGGGCAGCCGGATCGGCCGGGGCGACAGCGGCCCGGGGGGCAGCCGCCCCGGCCGCCGCCTTCTTGGTGCCGGCGCCAGTGCCTGGGGCAGCCGGCCCAGACCCGGGACCACCCACGGCAGCCACCGGGCGCAAGCCGGTCAGGTCACTGAGGCGCGTGAGGACCGCCGTCGGGCCGGGAATCAGACCCCCGGCCGCCAGCGGGCCATCAACCAGCATTGCCGACTCCGGGCCCAGCAGCCGGGTCCAGGCCCCCTGCGCCGAGCGGGACAGCTCGAGCGATCGCTCACGGAAGGTGGCAAACCCTTGCTCCAGTGGCCCGGCAGGAAGCTTCACCTCGCCCGGGCCATCAGGCCCCGGGACGGCCTCCGGGTGCTCGGACGCCATCGGCACATCGGCCGGGGCCGGGGCCGTCAGCGAGGAGGAGGAGGATGAGGACGAGGAGGAGGAGGAGGAGGAACCCTCGGTGGAGGAAGACGAGGAGGACCCGGAGGAAGGGCCCGCCTCTTCCTGGATGAAGGCTCCGCCATGGCGCAGGTTGATCGACTGCCGCAGGGACACATCAAATGGATGCAGGGACACCTGAGACCGGATGAGGGCAAAGCGCGCGGCCAGGGCCTGCGGCAAGAGCTTCGGCACCCCGACCAGGGGCTTGTGCGTTTGCTGCCATTCCCGCCCGGGGAAGAGACTCTGCCCGAGCTGGGCGTCGGCCGTCGAGGACCGGCAATCGCTGAGGGTCTGTGCCACCAGCGGCCAGTCGAAGTCCAGGGCCAGAGCTACCTCCATGAGCCGGGCCGTCTCGGCGAAGGACAGCCCACTGGCCAGGGCCGCCTGGAGTTGGGCCACCGGTGGCAGGGCTACCGGGGCCGATGAGGACCTGGCACCCGGCGCCGGGGTCGTCGTTGATGACGACGACGACGACGACGACGACGACGATGATGATGATGATGATGATGGCGATGATGATGATGATGATGATGGCACCGGCGACGGGAGGAGGCGCTTGCCGCCGATCAGTCCAGGGCCGAACCCCAGGGACGAAGGGCGTCGCAGACTCTCGGCCATGGCAGTCGACCGCAGGGCCCGGCGCAGGCCCAGGCGCTCGGCCCGACGCCGGAGTGCCCGGCGGAATACCCCGGGCAGCGGCAGGCGCGACCGGTGCAAGCTGGCCGCCCCGCGGAACAGCCGTCCGGCCAGCAGCCGCGACGCCGGCAGCAGGGCCAGCCCGCCGAGCGGATCGCCGACGGTGCCGCGATCGGCCGCCGTGGCAGGCGGCTGGGGCGGCTCCACCCGAGGTGCATTCCAAACAAAGGAATCCACCAGCTCCTCGGCCGGAGGCCCAGGGGACCCGCGCTGGCGAGCCACCGCGCTGGCCAGCACATCCGGCGCCAGCAACCCATCCGCCAGGTATGTCAGCGTCGGGGCCACATACTGGCCGTCGGTGGCCGGGTCGAACGGGGCCATGGCGCCCCCGGCAAAGAGGACCCCGCACACCCGGTGTGCCGGGTGCCCGGCCGGCACCGGGATGCACAGGGCCTGCCGCCGGGGCCCCGGGCTGGTCAGGTGAAAGCGCCGGGCCGCGTGCGCCAGCAGCCGCGCCGCATGTCGCTTCCAATGGCGCTCCTGGGTGAAGTCGTATGCCATGGGCTCCTGTCGGGTGTGCGAAACCCGGTACACACCGGGGGCAGGCGGAAGGGGCAACCCAGGGCGGCAAAGGTGTGGCGGTCAGGCAGATGATCAGGCAGTAAATGGGGGCACCGGCTGCCACAAAAAAAAAAAAGGCACCCGGGCCGGCGCAGGCACATGGCCCGCAAAAGTGGCACGCACCAGCTCGTCCAGCAGGAAGTCCCAGTGCGACCGGGGCCGCGGGGGCTCCGGGATTCGACGGAGCTGCCGAGCCGACCACCGGCCGGTGGCCCGCTGCAGCGATTCGATGCGCTCCAGGACATAGGTGATGCGCCGCTCGGCCCGGGCGGCGGCCCAGTCGGTGCTCAAAACCGCGCGCTTGGGATTCCGCAGCAGGAGGAAGTGCGGGTGGTGCACCGACAGAGACTTCCATGCCAGGGCGTAGGGCGAGGGAGTGGGAACCGGTGTGGCACCGGACGCCGTGGAAGCCGCTCGCGCCAGCACCCGTGCCAGGGGATCCCCCCCGGGCGTGGAGGAAGTGCCTGCGGGCGTGGGGCCAAGCGGGCCCAGTGCCTCGAGGGCCTGGCCCAATGACGGGCCGAACTCCAGTCGCAGCTGGGTCTGGTCGTCGGGCGTGAGCCCGGACCGGCTGCCCTCGGCCGGCTCGCGCAGCACGATCCCCCCGAAGGTGGCGGGCTCCGGATCGGCCGCCGGGCTGAGAGGTCCCGACATGGCCGACACCCGGGCCATGCTGGCCGACGCATGTGTGGCAATGGCCTGATCCAGCGGCGCCGAGTACCGGGGGGCCAGCTGCTGGCTGACCAGGGAGCGCGTTGACCGGTCGCGGCTACTCCCGGCGAGGATCGTCTGTCGAGCAACGGGAAGCGGAGGAGGGTCAGCCGGGGGCGGAAAAGGAAAAAAAAAAAAAAAAGATGGGACCCAAGGGGGCGGACACAAACGCACGTGGAGCATGCTGCCGGCGGAAAAGCGCAAGGGAAGGCAATGTGCGAACATCGGCCATCAGTGTTGGGCCATTGGTTTGACGGTCGGTTAACGGAGAGGAAGAGAAAATGGCGGAAGAACCGGAGGCCAAAGGAAAAGAGAGAAAGAGAGAGGGAGAGAGGGAGAGAGGGAGAGAGGGAGAGAGGGAGAGAGAGGCCGGGGACAAGAAGCAGATGGGGAAAGGGCAGGCGCCATGAGTCTCTGGACACACCTGCCGAACAGCCGGGAGAAGTGCGCATCCGGGAGAAGCGGCTCTTCCAAGGGAGGCGTCAGCCTCGTGCCTGTTGGGCCGAGCTCCGGCGAGGAGCTGAACGGCGAAACCGGCGACTCGTCAGGGCCCGGGGCCGGCGATTCGTCAGGGCCCGGGGCCGGTGACCCGGTGGGGGTCCTGGCCTCCGGAGGAGGAGGAGGAGGCGAGGCACGCTGGGAAGTGGCCTTCTGGCAACGGGCACCCCGACACACAGAACTCAACTGCGCCATGGAGTGCTGCCGCCGGCGCCAGAGGAACCTACACCGGGCGGGAGAGGGGGAGGAGGAAAAGACATGGGCAACAAGAGCGGAGGAAGGAGGTAAGAGAGGGGAGAGTACTGGACTGAAGGGACGGAGGGAAGAGGGAGGAGGGGGGCGCGCCCGCGCGCGCGCGCGCGGAAGAAAAAGTAAACATGACTGGCGCACCGAATGTGAGCATCAAGGGCCACCAGGACCGAGGCGGCCGGATCCGCCGAGGTGGAGGGCTTGGTGGGAAAGGGAAGGCCGAGGTCCACATCGCTGCAACCGGGAGCCGAGCTGTCCGGCGAGCTGTCGCCACTGTCCCGGCCGTCGGGCCCGGCGCGGTGCGCGGTGGCCGTGATGATGGTGGCCGCCGCGGTCACCGGGTCCGGCAGGGCGTCAATCGAGAAGAGACCACCCACGGCACCGGCAACCGCGGGACCGGGGGAGGGCGCACCGGTGGACGAGGACGAGGAGATACCTGCGATGGGCACGGCGCCCGGGGTGTGAGACTCGGAGATGGCCGCCGGACCGGCGGCGGCAGCGGCAGCGGCAGCAGCGGCGACGCTGGAGTTGCCAGGGAATGAGGTCACTGCGTCTGAGCACGAGCCGACGGCCGGTAAGCGAGGGTTTCCGGGGGACATTTGCCGTGGGGAAGGCACCGGGGCGCCAGGCGAGGGGGGCACACGCGCACCTTGCATCTCAGCCATGGGGAAAGGGAGGGTCTCGGTCGGAGGGCTGGCCTCTCGCGGTGCGAGCCGCGCGCGGGCGTGTGTTTGTAGGGGTGTGCGCGCGCGGGCGTGTGTGGGTGGGTGGGGGGTGGGTATGTGTGTGTGTGTGTGTGTGTGTGTCCGTCGGTTGGCTCGGAGCTGGGCCCGGTCGGAGGGAGAGGAGAGGGCGCGACCGTTCTCCCGGACGTGACGCCACGGTCGAGTGAGAGGGATAGAGGTGGTCGGGCTTTGAGGCAGCATGTGTGCATACACAGGGAGGGGACGATGGGAAGAAGGGGGAGGGAGGAGGAGGGAGGAAGCAGCAGAAAGTGAGTGTCGGCCCGAGACGAGCGAGGCAAGGCGAGGCAGAGAAGAGCAGGACGGACAGTCGAAAAGCGCCAGGGGCGGGAGGGAGGCAGGGGAGACGACAGACCGGAGAGGGGCAAAGTAGCAAGGTGCAAGAGGGGGGAAGGGAGAAAGACAGAGGAGGAGGGGGGAGGAATGCGAGTCGTCCGAGGGCGCTCTCGGTGGGTGGAGAGCCTGGCTGGTGGCCAGGGGCGATGGAGGGGGAAGAGAAAAAGTCCTGCGACCGTTAGGCCGGCAGAGAGAGAGGGAGGGGGGAGGGGGCAGGGAAAGGTCCGGTTGGAAGGCGGCGGAGCCCCAGGCCGGAAAGACAGACAACAAGAGGCATAAAGAGAGCCGGAGAAAGAGCAAGCCAGCCAGAGCAAAAGCGAAAGGGAGAAGGAGCGCGGGCGGGGGACCCGGGGGAACGACTCCGGCGGGTGAGGTCCCGGGGAGCGCGGCGGCCAAGCGAAAATGGGCAGTCCCCTCCCCGCCAAAAGGCGGGAGACGCGCGCGGACAGGCACAAATGTTGAGGGTGGGCATTTGGGAGTAGCGGTTATTCTGCCGGTCTAGAACAACCCCCAGGGGTTGGAGGGCAGAGGTGAGTATGCGCTTTCCTGTCACGTGGGTGTATACTTATTGTGGGTATTACGAACTGGGCTCCCTTTCCTGCTGCTATTGTTGTTATTATATTTTTATTTATTGTCCCCGCCCGTATGCCGCAGCCCGTTGTCGGTGGAGGAACAGCCAGAGATGGGTGCGCCCAGCGGAGGGTCACGGATTTGAACCAAACCGAGAATCAGCACCCCACCCCCGCGCGTTCGCCCCGCCGAAAGCCGGCATCTCCCATTCCGGCTCACTCTCCGGCGTCCTTTGACTCCCATTGGTGCCCCCCCCCCCCTGGCATTGGCGCATCTTCGCCCCCCGTCCTCGTCCCCTTTCTCGGACATTGCCTCCCTCACTGCCTCTGTCCAAAAGTACTCCGGCTGTGCCCCTCTGGGGCAAGGCGAATTTCTTCTCAGCACCCCCACCCGGGAGTGCTTGTCTTTCTGTGGCCGCGTGGGTGGGTGGGGGGGGGGTGCTGCTGTGTCCCGTGCTTCGGTTCCGAAAATGTGTGTATTCAACAAGGACAGCGGCAGATATGTGCGTGTACACGCGAGCGAGCGAGCGAGCGAGAGAGAGAGAGAGAGAGAGAGAGAGAGCCACATATGCAGGGGGAGTAGGAGGAAGGGAAACAAAGAGAGAGGGAAAGAGGGAAACATGGGCGGCCGCGGGCGGCCGGGCGGGCGAAAGGTGGGCCACCGCGCGCACTGGTGTGCGCACACGACACACTCCGCCATTTCGGGATGCGCCCAGCCCCCCCCCCCCCTCCCTGGGGCCGCGGATTAGGCCCAGGCGTCGCCGGTCCAGCCCATCCGGTCGCCGATGGACCCATGCCGGCCGGCGGCCCAGATGGTCTCCTTCTCGAGCTGGGCATCGGTCGGCCGGAAAAGGCTGCACCAAGTGGCCACGATGACATCCGGCAGGAGAGAGGCCATAACCGTAACCAGGGCCATGAGCCAGACGGTGGGCGTGGAGAAGGCGGCATTTGCGGCATCGGCGAACTCCGGGAAGATGAGCTGGAAGATGAGCGAGCAAGCGAAGAACAGGACGATACTCAGCCAGAAGGACATCCACATGGGCCAGGAGTGGGCATTCACCGTCAACCCCCAGCGGACCAGGACCAGGAGAACCACCACCAGCGAAGCGACTACGGTGCTGTACCAGTACCCGGCGCTGAGACCGTAATTGGTCCCGGCCACTGCACTGGAATGAGCCACGGGCGACACGCCAAGGACTACGTCCTCGTAGAAGAAGAAGTAGAAGCAGACAGCAATGACTGTGCGCAGAAGGGGGGGGGGGGGGAGGGGGGGGACAGGTGAGCAGGAGGGCCGGGGCATATCATGGGCCGGGGAGGGAGCAAGAGCGGGAGAGTGGGAGACACAGGGGAAAGAGCCAACGCACTGCCACTGTGCAACAGGGCCGACAAGCCGTATCCGGCGATGAGCTTGAAGTTGAAGAAAATGTCCTTCTTCCACACCTCGCGGAAGAGCTCCGGCTTGGCCTCGAGCGAGGTGGCCGGGAGGTCCCGGTCAAAGGTGGCCAGGAAGAAGGGCGGCAAGCTCGTGAGGATCAGGTTGAAGAAGGTGATGATAAGTTCCTGGTAGACGGGCTGTGGGGGGGAGATGTGCAGGATGTGTGCATGGACCGTCAGTACGGCTGTGGGGAAAAAGAGGGCGTGGCCCCCGCCCGATCAAACTCTCCAAAGGAGATGCCCGCCCGCGGTGCCGCGGGACGACGGCCGGAGCAGCGAGCAAACATAAAGAAGAGGCAAGGAGACGAGGAAAGAGGCAAACCAGCGCGTACCTGCGATGACCAGCCATTCATGAACCCATACCAGAACTGGAAGCCAATCATGGCCATGTTCTTGTAGAAGGAGTAAACAATCAGGTGGCCCATGCGCATGTAGGACCACCGCCCGTGCACCAGGAGCAGGCGCTTGAGTGCGCGGAACTCCTTGAATGCATAGTCCGACGCCCGGACCGCCTGGGTACCCTCGAGGCCGATGATGCCGACACCGATGTCGGCCGACTGAATCATGGACACATCGTTGGCACCGTCGCCAATGGCCAGGCACACATCGCCGGCGCGCTTGCGCACCAGCTGCACCACCTGGGCCTTCTGCAGCGGGGTCACCCGGCAGCAGATGACCGACTTGCACACCTGCCCCAAGCGGTACAGCTCATCGGGGTAGATGGCCAACGCATGGACCAGGGCCGCGCCGGTGATGACCAGACAAAAGGCGTTCTCATCGACGATGGGCTGATGGTGTGTGTGCGCGCGCGCACGCACAGACACGGGCACACGCACAGACACACGCACAGACACACGCACAGACACACGCACAGACACACGCACACACACACGAGCGGGCGGGGGAGGGAGACGGAGAGGGATGGGCAGAAAGCAAAAGAAAGGAGAGCGTCGATCGGCACAGTCAGTATCAGCATAGGGAGGAAGGGAGTGAAAAAGAGGGGGCAACACCAGGGCGATGCCCCGTCGCCAAGAAGCAAGCGGAGGGAGGGGCAAGAGGCAACCAAACACCGAGACATACCAGCGGCTCCTCCATGGCGTTGGACAGAGACTCAAGAGCGTAGGAGCTGCTCAGGGACACGGACTCCAGGACCGCCTCGGCGGCATTACGCCGGCGCAGCAGCAGCCGGTCGCGCAGGCGCCGACGCTGCCGGTATTGCTTCTCCAGATGGGCCACACGCTTGAGGGCCGTCTGCAGCAGGGTTCCCACCACATCGGCGTCCTCCGAGGAAATGGCCAGCAAGTGCATGGTATCATCAATGAGCCGGGTAGACTGGCCGATGGAGATGGCCGTCTCCAACTTGTCGCCCGTCAGCATCCACACCTGGACCCCGGCACGCAGGAGCTCGGCAATGGTCTCGGCGACATCCTCCTGGAGCTTGTCCTCGACGGCCGTGGCACCGAGCACATCCAGGTCCACCTCGATGGTCTCGCACACCTCCATGATGCGCTCGTCACGGTCATCGAGGCTGGTTTCGGCCGTGTGGTAGCGAGCATCGAAGTCGGCGAACTCCTCCTCGGACAGGGGGCGCTGGGCCACCAGCAACGTGCGCAGACCCAGGCGCGAGAAGTTTTCCACATCGCGCTGCAGCTGCTCCCGTGCCGTGGTGTCCTGCATCAGGGTCGACCGCTCGATGATGATGTTGTCCGCGCCCTTGGTGAAGAGCCACAGCGATTGGTCCATCGGGTCGCGCACGATCACCGACATGCGCTTACGCGTGGAATTGAACTCCAACACACGCAGGATCTGCCAGGAGACCGGCTGGCCGAAGTATGACACCGCCAGGGAGGTGGACTTGCGGCCCTGCAGAGCGATGCCATTCTCCCGCAGGGACTCCATGAGTGCCGCCTCATCGGGTGAGTCGCCCTCGTAGACGATAGCTGGTGTGGGATACGGCGAAGCGGGGGGGGGGGGGGGGGCGTGTGCGTGTGCGTGTGCATGTGCGTGTACATGTGCATGTGCATGTGCGTGTGCGTGTACGTGTCAGGATGGAGTGAAGTGAGGGGGAAGGAGGGGGGAGGAGAGGAGGACAAAAGTGGCCACGTACACTCGGACCCCTCAACTATCGACGGCAGGACGGTGTGGCAGACGGACAGGGCCCGGGCGAAGGCGTGTGACCGGGCCATCTCCTCCGGGGTGGGGAGCTCCAGCCCGGAGGGGTACTCCCCGCGGAGGAACCGGCCGAAGGCCCCGGGGCCGCAGATGGCCGCGGCGGTCGGGTCGGCCGCCGCCTTGCCGGTGGGGGGGAATTCATCATGCGTACGGCCGCCGAGAACATGCCAGAAGCGCAGGCGCATGATGTTCTGGGTCAGGGTGCCGGTTTTGTCGGAAAAGACGCGCGTCACCCGGCCCAGGTCCTCGTTGAGATTGGAGTTGGTGGGCCGCATGCGGATCCCGTCCACCGAGCGCATTCGGTCATCCAGGAACATGAAGCCGGCCTGGGTCAAGCGGGCCAGTTCCATGGTCACGAACAGCGAAATGGGGATCAGGTAGGTGTACAGAATGAAGAAGGACATGGCGTGGTAGCCGGTCACCACCCAGACGGACACCTCCCAGTCGAGGTAGAAGGAGTACTGACCGGTCCTGATCTGTCAGGAGGGGGAAAGCAGGAGTGGGACGGGGTGGGACGGAGTGAGAAGGCGAGCGATGTGTGGTGGGAAGAGCGGCAGGCGGGATGTGGGCGGCAGGCGGCGGCGCCCGGGCCATCAGTAACAGCAACAACGATGACGATGGCAATGACAGCAATGACAGCAATGACAGTAGCGGTAGCAGCAGCCGCCGCAGCAGCAATGCCGGGCACGCACATGGAAGAAGGCCGTCAGAATGACACTCACACCGAGGACGATGAAGTTCAACAGGAAGATGCCCAGCACAAGCATGTTGAGCCGGTGCTCCAGCGTGGAAAACTTGAGCTTGGCGTCCTCGAGGTTCCTGCATGTGTGTGTGTGTGTGTGTGTGTGTGTGTGTGTGTGTGTGCATGGACAGGTGAGTGGGGAAGTGGGAGCCGAGATGACAGCGGTCATGGCGCGGCCGGTGCATCTGGGTGAGGGCGCCCCATGGGCTCACAGGAGACCCCACCGATGCCCATGCGAGGAGGGAAAAAGGGGCGGAAGGAACCACGCACAGCATCAGCTTGGTGTAGCTGCCGACATAGGTGACCACACCGTAGATGGCATCCGTGTTGCGCAGGGTCGAGCCACGAAGGAGCAGCTGATCGATGCCCAGCGGGATGGAGGTGAGCTTGGGGTTGTCCATCTCCAGGACCGCCTGGTACTGGTACAGGTTGGGGTTGTTGCGCTTGCCGACGACGCTGCCGGAAAAGGCCAGGGCAGACTGGAGGCAGGGAGGAGAGGGCGGTGAGTATCGCATGGGAAGGAGGAGCGGGAGAGGGGAGGGCAGAAGCAGGGCCAAGGACCCAAGAGACCAGGAGAGGCCCTCACGCTGCGGGTGGGGGAGGGGGGGGGGGAGAGAGAGAGAGAAAAAAAGGCAATCCCAGGGGATAGAGAAGGCCCCGGTGCATGCCTGCTCCGCCTGCTCCTCCTCCGACCTCGGCACCGCATCATGAAACATACCTCCGGCGTGAAGATGTCATGCACGGCCTTCGGCGCGGTGCGGCGTTTGAGATTGGTCTCACCGTCCAGATCGGCGGTGGAGATGTAAGCCAGGCCGTCGGGCGAGCCCTCACAAGCAAGCAGGACAACATCCGCCGGGAGCGGGTCGTCGCGGACCAGCCGGATGACATCGCCAGGGGCCAGGTACTGACTGCGGATCACCTGGAGCTCGCCATTGCGCACGACGGACACCGGGATGGAGTTGGCGGCCTGGTCGGCGCGGTAGCGCTTGTAGTCCTCCACGGCATCCTTGATGGCCGTCACACCGAGGACAATGGCCAGTGGCGTGAGCATGTTGGCCGGGTTGATGGGGGATGCGCCAAGCGGCAGGACACTGAGGATGGCACTGAAGAGGAAGTACAGGTTGTAGAAGCGCCGGAACTGTTGTGGGTGTGGGGCGGCGGGGGGCGGGCGATGGGAAGGGAGGCAGCAAACGTCAGGACTGACGGGCGAGGGGGGAGGGGGGGGGGGGCGGAGAAAGAAAAAAAAAGAAAACCGGCAAGAGGCCGAGCGCATGGCCCCCGGGAGGGGCGCGAGCGATCGAGCCACACACAAACCGACGCACCTGGTTGAAGAGGTTGATCGGCAGGAAGGTCAAGAGCGTGTACTTGGTGGTGCGGATGTAGTTGGGTGACCGGCGCTTGGTGCTCGGCTGCGAGGTGCCATTGAAGCTGACAACCAGAGGGGGGTCCGTCACGGCCGGATCGGCGGCCGTGGCGGCCCGGTCATTTGAGGCCATTTGGGTGGACGGGGAGCGAGCCTGTGCGAGGGCATAAGTCAGCCAGATGGTGAGGGAGCGAGAGGAGGAGAGATGACCGCGGCGGCAGTGCGGCACAGCGAGCGGGGGTGGGGAGGGGGGGGGATGCAAGCAACAACAGACGCACGTCGGAACGCGTGGCACGGCGATGCAGGGGGCGGGACGCCTCACAGCACGCAATCACAGGAAGTGAAGGGTGGGTGTGGGGGGGTGTCGGGTCTCCGATCCGGCGGAGGAGGCAAGTGCGCCTGGCTGGCCTGGGAGGACGTGTGTGTGTGTGTATGTGCGTGTGCGTGTGTGCGTGTGCGAGTGCGTGCGGTTGAGAGGGGGAGGAGGGGAGAGTCGCAGGGGCGATCACCTCAGGGGGAGGGGGTGGGCGGGGGGAGGTGACTCGATGCACGGTGCCCAACGCGCTGGGCGGCCCCAGGGTGGCCTGAGAAGAGTGTGCGTTGGGGAGAGCACCCACAACACAGGGGGGGGGGGCGCGGGCAGCGACAGAGGAGGCCGAGTGGGCCGGCGGGATCTCTGTCGGGGCCGGGGGGGGGGGGCGGCGGGGCGGGGGCCAACACGGCCACCGGAAGGGGGGCGCGGGCACCAAGCAACCCGCGGGGGGCGGGCATCCTGGGACGAGGCACCCCTCTGGCCCCCCAATCCCCGGGCGCCGGCCCGGACGGGGGGCTGATCCATTGGAACGTGGCTGGCCCCCTCCTGGGTTGCCCACTTCCCCCTCCCCCCCCCCCGGGGGGGAGGCGGGCGCGCCCGGCAAATGCTCTCTCCCTCTCTCCCTACCGGGGACTGAAACATTGTCAGCTGGGTTTGGCGCTGTTGGGCTCATGCGCCGCGGCCCAGGGCGCATGCGGGAGCGGGTTGTGCGCCGAGGCGGGCGCCAGCTATTCGTGCGCCCTCGGCCGAGGCCCCGCCGCAGGGAGACTTGGCCCAACCGCGCGGGCCCGTGGCCGGGGGGCGCCCGGTGGGTCGTCAATGGGGCGGGGGTGGCCCCGGCCAGCCCGGGGCGGCCCCCCCCCCCCCCCCGCCGCCCCCTCCCGGAGAGGAGGCCTCGCAATATGTAACGGGAAGACGACGCACGCTGTTGGTGGTACACGGACCCGACCCCCTTCTGTTCCCCCTCGCCCCCCCCCCCCCCCCCTGCCCGGCGGGGGAAGGAGTTCGCTGGCATCGCCCCGCGCGCTGTTGGCCGGTGCCGGTTCGCATGCCGGCGCCGGTGCCAGACTGCTTTTTGTGCTTCTTCCCGGTGCGGACCTTCCCGAGCGGGGCCGCGTCTCCTGGAGGGGGACAGGGGCGGCGGCGACATTTCCAGTGCGATCTGCGAAGCTGCTCGCGGGCCGACCCTCGCAAGAACGGTCACACGTCGATCACTGGCAAAAAGGGTGCTGGCACCCTTCTCGCCGATATCATGCACGCGCCCGCCTCATGAGGCGGGGCACATTCTTTGGCGAGGGCACGCACACACGCAGCCCCCCCCCCCGCCGGCCGGCCGGCCGGCCGACCGGCCCGCCCGCACGACGGTCAATCGCCTTCCCACGGCAACACGCTCCCGTGCTCGGGGGCCTCCTGCGGCTGGTGGCCCGCGGCCGCCGCAGTGGCAATCCTCCCGTGGCCATGGCTCGCGCGATCCCGGGCCGGCCGGTGTATGCACATATATCTTCGTCGGGGCCCGGACGCGGCCTGCGGGCGGGCCCCGAAAGAGGAGGGCTGGCCAGCGGGCCGACGCGGGACGCCGGCACGGCCGCGCCCGTGTGCATAAATTGCCCTGCTTGCGCTTGGCCCGGGGGCGTGTGGCCCATCGGACTGGGCCTGTCCCCACCCCTGTGCCTCCCCCCCCCCCCCCCCCCGACTTGGGCGCTCACCTCAGCAGAACGAAGCATCGAATCAGGCAGGTTCCGCCCGGCCCGGCGGTCTTCGGCCTGTCGGGAGGGAGGGGAAGGGGGGGGGGGGGGGCGGGGGGCGTAGGTTGGCTGGCTTCTCCCCAGTCCGGGGATCTGCTCCTTTCCCGGTTCCGTTCCCCGGCGTCGGGCGGAACTATCCTTCGGCACATGCAAAAAGCCGAGAATATATATATTTAACGCAATTTATCAAAGCCCCTGGCTTGGGCCCACTGTCCTCCCCACGGCCAGCCCGAAGAGGGGAGGCCTTTTTCTGGGCGGGCGATATTCGCCTGACCAATAGCTGGCCATTGGCAGATCACAATTTTCGAGAAGACATCGCCTCCCCGTCTGGCGTGCCTCCCGGACGCGTTTGCGTGAGGATGTGCGCACGTGTGGGGGGGGGGTGCAAGCAGGCAAGCAAAGACACACACACACACATACACACACACACGCACGCACGCACGCACACACGCACACGTACACGCATACGCACATACACACGCGCAGGCCGGCCCTTGGGGGCTGGTCGTCCGTTGGAGGGTGCCGATTGGCTCCGCCGCGCCGGGCGCCTTGGCTTGCCTTTGGCGCAGTGAACTCCCGCGTTCCCCCGCCCCCCCCCCCCGGCTTTTGGCGGTGCCCACCATATGGGGGGAGGGGGGAGGGGTGCACGCTCTCGGTGTGTCTCCTCAAGTCGTTAACCTTCCGGGCCTGGCACCCCGTCCCGGGGGGCATATGGGTCCCGGCCCGACCAAGCGCGCTCCCTAGTCTTCACCCCCCCCCCGGGGGGGGGGGGGGGGCCGAGGGTAGTGCTGAGGATCGTCGGGTCTCTGCGCCTCCCGCGCCGCTTCTTCCCGAGAACCGAGCTTCCCGGCTGGGGAGAGAGAAGCCTGTGCGGTCTGTTCCCTGAGGACGGGGATCATTTGTTGGGTGGCAACAGGGGGGAAGGGGGGGGGGGGGGCGAAGAGGTGCAGGGGCATGGACACATCTCCCTGGTGGATGATGTGGGGCGCCCGTTCGCTTGCCCTCCCCGCAAGAGGGGCAGCGGGCGGGGGTGCCCTGGCTGCCGCGGGCAGGATTACCGCAGGGCGTAGGGCGCCGGAGGGTGATCTCGTGCACATGGATAACGATAATGCCATTTCGGCAGTCACATGGTGATATCATGTACTATAAAAGCCAAGCTCTCTCCAGCACTTTTCATCCAAGCCGGGGGCGTAGCTCAAATGGTAGAGCGGCCGCTTAGCATGCGGCAGGCAGGGGGATCGATACCCTCCGCCTCCAGTTTCCCTTTTTAAAGGGCCTTCACCTTTTTCCTCCAGGAGTCCAGATTTTCGGGAGAAAGACAGCGGAGACGCGTCCAGATACCTGCCTTTTTGTGGCATCCGCTGCGCCCCATCATCTCTGGCCCTGCCCCGCGTCTCGGGAGCGGGGGATGTGTTGGCACAAAAACAGGAAAAGGGGAGGAAACAAAAAAAGGAGGCAGGTCCCGCAGGACTGGCATGTGTCGAGATTGTGCATTGGTCTTGCCGTGGCCCCCCCCCCCCCCCCTCCGGGGAGGGACACACGTGCACGGCATTCACTCGAAGAGGCAGGCACAGGCACAGCCGGCCACCGGGCAAAGGCGCCGCACGGGGGTCAGGGCGTTGCTCCCGGCCCTGCCGGGGTGCTGTGTTTGGAAGAACCACCGGACCATGTGCGCGCGGTGGCCGCCATGCCCACAGGCCAGACACACAACGACCAGCGACCCGCGCACGGGTGTCCGGCAGACCGAGCAACAAAGTGCTTGGCGGCGTGAAGGGCAAGGAGCCGCAATGTCCGCCGGGGTATGTGCCAGTGGGGGCGAAATGCCGGCGGTCGCGTCGGCCGGCACCGCCGAAGTCTCGGTCGTGGCACCTGGCAGCGGCAGCCACGGTCCCCGGGGCCAACCGGCACTGCTGGCGCCCATGTGCGAGTCAGTGCTGCTCAGCAGGTCGGGCCCATCATCCGAGACGTCGCCCCAGACACCGGGCGGGGGCGAGGATGACGGCGACGGCGACTCGGCAAAGGGTGGCGGCGGCGGCGGCGGCGGCGGCGGGGGCGTTGGTGGCAGCGGTGGTGGCGGCGGTGGAGACGACGGGGAGGAGGGAAGCCGGGGCGGTGGCAGAGGAGGCGGCGGCGGCGGAGGCGGCGGGGGCGGCGGCGGCGGTGGCCCGGACAGCAGCCGCGCTGCGGCAGTGGCCTGGCTCGCGGCCCCGGCCCCTGGAAGGTGCCGACCAGAAAGCCCCCGGGTCGGGCCGTCGGCCGGGGCCAGCAAGCAGGCCGCCAGGTGAGACTGGACAAAGTAGCTGGACAGGATGCTCAGCAGGTGCAGGGCCGACAGGGTGGCCGGGACAAAGGCCGCCTCGCCGGGAGGCTCGGCCACAGGCACCATGTCGCCGGTTTGCGGCGCGGCCCGCAGGAGGACTGGATCGCGGGGCGGCGCAGGAGAGGAAGGAGGAGGAGGAGGAGGAGGGGGAGGGAGAGAGGGGAAGGGCTGTCAGCCATGTGGAGCATGTACCAGGGACGAGGAGAGAGTAGAAGGGGGGGGGGGCCTTCCGGCCGGAGGAGACGCACAGAGCCTTGCAGGGGGCAGGTCCGCGTCATTGCCCCACCAACACCAACCATCCGACCGGAGGAGGTCCTCCTCGCGGACGGGGGTCAATGGCGATGAGGGCGCCACGGCCGGGGTGACCGGCGCTGTGGAGGCTGTCCGAGAGGCTGGGACTCGCGCCGACCGGGGGCCCTCGCCCATGTCGAAGGGGCTCTCGGTCGGCATGCCGGTGCCAGGGTCGGCACTGGTGGCCCGCAGCGAGTGCAGCACGGCCGCCCGCGGGCCGAGCGCATGCCAAGCCGCCAGGATGTCCGAGTACCGGGCCTTGGCGCGGTTGAGGACCGGGGCCAGGTCCGGCGGCACCCAGCTATGGTACCGACAGCGTTGGGCTCCGAGCAGGCGGTAGGGGACCCGGTCGCTCATCGGTTGGAAGGGCTCGAAGCCGGCGTTGTCATCGATGTCGAAGGACTGCAAGCAAGGTACGCATACCCAGTCAGAGGCCAAGCCATCACGGCAGGCGGATGGGTGGGTGGGTGGGCGGGCAAGGGGAAGGAGCGAGGAGGGGGGGGGGGGCGGGAACCGGGTCGCCAGCGTGGGGCCCCAGTGGCCGGGGCATATGCGGCCACGAGGCAGCAAAGGTTGCCGCTGGTCGTACCGTGTCCAAGAGAGAGGGGCTCGGAGCGGCCGAGGACGCTGGAGCTGGCGGGTCGGGAGCCGCGGTGGCCGGGCCCGAGGCCGGGGCCGGTGCCTTCGAGTCATTTGCCGGTGTCGAAGTCGGCACCGGCGCACCGGCTCCCATGGACGGGAGGAGGAGCCGGGCGGCGCCGGTCACGACGCCAGCCACGAAACCGCCGCCTCCGCCGCCGCCGCCGCCGCCGCCGCCGCCGCCACGGGGCAGGGCCGCCGCGCTGGTCGGCGCAGTGGCCGGGACCACGGTCCCTGCCGATGAGGAAACCACCGACGGTGGCCCGGCCGACGAGGCGGGTGGCTGTGGGACATCCACGGGGGGCCCATCGATGGCCGCGCGTCGGGGACCAACAGCCGGCACCGAGGGCCGGAGTAGCACCTGGGCAAAGTCTGGCGCCACAAAGTGGACCTGCCAGTGGTGCAGTCGGCCGCGAAGGGCGGGTTGCAATTCCGGCACCGCATCCCCCTCGGTGCCGGTGGTCGGCGCCAGGCTGCTGATGAGGCTGGGCTTGAAGGCATCGCCCAGGTGGGCCAGCGCCTGTGGCAAGGTCGGGCTCTGGGCCAGGACGTCCAGTGCCCCGAGGTCCACCGCCCGGTGCGGGTCGAAGGGGGGCTCCGGCACCGTCAGCAGGCAGGCCACCAGACCGAGGGCCACGGCGTCGCCGGCGGCTGCCAGGTCGGCGATGCTGGGAGGTGGGCAGGCGACAACAGGGGCGGCGCGTGGGGAGTACATAAGTGCATGCATGGGTATGTGTGTGTGAGAGAGAGATAGGGATAGAGAGAGTGAGAGAGAGTAGGAGTGAGAGAGAGAGTGAGAGTGAGAGAGTGAGAGAGAGTGGGAGTGAGAGAGTGAGAGATTGAGAGTGAGAGATTGAGAGTGAGAGATTGAGAGTGAGAGATTGAGAGTGAGAGATTGAGAGTGAGAGTGAGAATGAGGGTGAGAATGAGAGTGAGAATGAGTGTGTGTGTGTGTGTGAGAGAGAGAGAAAGCATGTGTGGGAATGAGCGGGTGAGGTGGCCGCGGCGCAAGGACCACTGCCCAGGATGACGCACGCCTCCCGGATCAGTGTGGCCCCCATGATGTCCAGCACCTCGGCCCCGGCGCCGGCCTGCTGCAGAGTCGGCAGACCGCCGGCACTGCTGGCTCCCAGGAGCAGGGCATCGGAGCGTTGGGCATCGGCGCGTTGTGACAGGAGCCCGCTGGCCGCGGCCAGCGCCTGGCCCAGAGCCCGGTGGTTGGTGGCCATGGCGAGGCCGGCATTGCGGGCACAGCTCCGCGCCAGGGCCTCATCCAAGTGGGCATGGTGCCATAGCAGTCGAGCCCAGGCCAGTCGCGGGCCATCTTCCAGGTCCTCATGATCGTCCTGATCCTCATGCTCGTCGAGGTCATGCTCGTCCGGTGCCGAGCGAGTGGCGATGTCGGTGGCGGTGGTGGTGGTGGCGGCGGCCATGCCGCGCGCCAGTACTCGGGGCAGGGACAGCCGCCCGAAGGATGGCAGCCGCGCGCCGAAGGCCAAAGCCTTGCGGTCGACCGGACGCCGGGCGGGCGTCGCCGAAATGCCCGGCTCGGCCACCAGCGCCGGCCACCGGGCTGCCTGATCCAAGCTGGCCAGGTCCACCAGGGCCAGTGACGAGCTGGACCAGTGGGAATTCGGCCAGCCGGAAGTGGCGCTGGCCAGGGCCCCGGCCATGTCGGCCTCGGCGCCCTTCTGCAGGAAGAGCATCCCGGCCGACGGGCCGACCCCGGGGCCCGGCCCGGCTCCGGACCCCGGCGCCCCGACCGTCGTGGAGGAGGTCGATGAGGAAGCCCGCGAGGAGGAGGCCGTTGAGGCACTCGGCGAGGGAGCCCCACTGGGACCGGTGGCCCCGGTGGAGGCATATCCCCCGGGGCCGGATGGGCCCGAGGCAAACCCAAGCCCCGGGCCGGAGAGCGTGCTCAAGGTCTTGACCCCGGCCAGGGAATTCACCAGGAAGCCGCTCATGTGCAGTGGCGGTGGCCCGGGAACGCCCGATGTGCCCGGGCCGTTGGAGCCCCGCACGCGTTCCACCCCAAAGTCCCCGGCCAGCGAGAGACTGCCCCCGCGCCCGGGGAGCCCGACACTCGGTGGCCGCGAGGCGAAGGCCCCCGATGGCAGGGTGCCCGGCGGGGGGATGGCCACCGTGCTGGCGGCCGCCGTGGAGCCAGGCCGCGGCCGGCCGGCCGGCCCGGGCCCCAAGCCCAGAAGTGCCCCGGCCGGGTCGTACCCATGGTGCGAATACAGGTGCGCATGGTGCGTGTGATGGTGCGCATGATGGTGCGCGTGATGGTGCGAGTCGGCGAATTCCCCGGCCGGCGAATGGAAGGCCGACGCCGCTGGCGACAGGAACCCCATGGAGGAAGCCAGCCCGGAGACCACCAGCGGCCCCGGGGCCCCGGAGGGCACCTGCCCGGAGTGGGACCCGGGGCGTGTGCCGGCCGCCAGGTCCGAGCCCGTGGTGCTGCTGCCGGCGGCGGCCCCGGCGGCGGCTGGGGTGGCGGCATTCCCCGCCGGCAGGGCGCCGACATCCCCGGCACGCGGGACCAGGCCGGCAGCCGCGGCGGCGATGGTGCTGGCCGCCGTGCTGGCCGCCGCGGCCAATGACTGGGAGGCGGCCTCCCGCGCGGCCACAAACCGCCGCAAGCCATCCAGCGCCCGGGGCGGCTCGACCATCGGGCCGGCCACCGCGCGAGCCCGGTCGTAAACCCCCTGCAGGAAGGCCATCTGATCGGGGCCCGGGGCCGGGGGCCCAGCCAGGCCGGCCGGGCCCGGAGCCGGGGAAATGTCCGCCAGCGCGGGGATCCGGAAGAGGACCGGCGCCGCGAAGACCACCAAGCTGCCATTCGGGGCGAACACCGCGGCCGACAAGCGCGGGCACGGGATCCGATCATCGCGATTGAGGGCCGACGCACTGCCCAGGCCCACCCCCAGCCCGCCAAGCCCATGGAGGTGGGTGTTCAGCGAGCCGGACAGGCCGCCCGGCACGCCGAGGACGCTCAAGTTGCGCGCCAGCTCGGCCGTCTGCTCGGCCTGGCCGGCATTGCGCAGGGGAAAGCGCTGGCCGGCCGCCAGCGGCAGCAGCGACTCCTGGCGGAAGCGCCAAACCAGATGCTGGCCGATGGCGGTGGTGGCCGCGGCTTCGGCGGCCGCGGCCGCCCGGTCATCCCCGCCCGGGCCTTCGCCCAGGTGCCCGGGGGCGCCCTCCAGCGGGGCAGGCGGCGCGAAGGTGGCCAGCGAGGTGACCAGCTCCGCGCGCAAGGCCACCCACGTGTCGACCAGGGCCGCGAGAACGGCCTCGCCCGGCAGGCGTCCAAAGCGATCCGCCTCGCTGGCATTCGGCCGGGCATAGTGACGGTTTCGTTCGAGCAACCGCGCCAGGGCCCCCTGGTCGAATTCCCGCCATGCCAGGCACAGCCGGGCCAAGTCGGCCAGCAGGGACACCAGTCGGCTGGCTGCTCGGCCGGCCGCCGCCGCCGGGTCCAGCCCCGAGCGCCAGGCCGACCGGGCCGCCTGTCGAAGGCGCTGGCCCACGGCCGCGGTCAGCCCCTCGACATCGGCCGAGCTGGCCGGCTGCTCGGACACCGCGGCCGCCAGGAACCCGGCCAACGAGTCGCCCAGGACCCCGGTCTGCCCAGGGAGAGGCGGGACCTGCTGGCCACCGGCGCCGAGCCCCCGATCCGCGGTGCTCACAGACTGGATGGCCGTGCTGCTGTCGGTCTGTTGCAGGTACCGCAGCAGCCCGGGGAAGTGATCCGGCAGCCGGAGGGCCACGGCGATGCGTGGGATTCCGGCGGCGGCGGCCGCCTGCCCGGGCGCCTGCCCCCGGGGGGGATCTCGCGCACTTGTCCGGGGCCGCAGCCGCACGCGCAGCCCCCCGGCCCCGGGTTCAATGGCAAATGTCAACAGCCGGCCACTCGGCGGCAGGGGCATGTGAAGATCGCCGGGCTGATGCCCGGGTGCTGACACGGCCAGGGGCAATGGCTTCTGGCCGGGATCCCAGGCCGACTGGTGGGTCGGGTGATTGGATGTTGCATCCGAAAAGTGCAGGGCGATCGGCTCGAGAGGCGGGCATCGCGGCGCGCCGGCGCGCCGACGCCCGGCATCGGCCAGCTGCTGGCGGGGGACAAAGCGCCGGAAGGACAAATTATCCAACGAGTCGATCGACGCCGCCAGCATGTCGTCTTTGGGTTTTGAGGGGAGGGAGGGCCGCAGGGGGGGGGGGACCGGGGGAGGCGGAGGTCGCGAGTGTGCGCGCGTGTTCGTCAGATGCCCGGGAGGCGGCCGACAAAGGCGAGGCGGTCAGTCAAGCACATTCTCGCCGGCAACGGGAGCAGAACCCACGGGCCGGAGGGCCCGGCCAGGACGCACCATCCCCCAAGGAAAGCAGCGCCCCAAAGTGAGCCCGGCGACCGACCGACGCCAGCCACGCATCCCCCGGGGGGGCTGACCCGGCAAGCGGGTACCAGGCGGCCGGCACGCCAGTCTCCGGGGCCCAGAGACCAAGCGCATGCGACGTCAGCAGAGCCAGGCCCCCAGGCGCAGATGCACATGGCTGTGCCGCCAGCAGTTGCCCCGGCAGGGGGAGGCCCACGGCCCGGGGGTCAACCTGCACCTCGAGCCCGGAGCCCACATCCAAGTCCAGCGGGGTGCAGCGTGCCAGGAAATCCCCCGCCTCGAAGAGCGTCGTCCCGGCAGTGAGCTCTCCCATGGTCGGGCCCTCAAGCCCGAAGAGGAAGCGCACTGGGCTGCCGGCGCCGCCGGGCGGGCCGTCCCCGCCCGGGCCACCAGCCGAGGCAGCCGAGCAACGAACCGGCCTCGAGGTAAACTACGTACAAGGGGGCGGGGGGCGGGGAGGAGGAGGGAGGGCTGGTGTCAGTGAGCCCCAAGGACAGTGCTTTCCTCCTCTCCCTCTCCCGCTCGCTCCATGTGTGTCAGGTGGGAGGTGGGGAGCAAGGCAGGCAGGTGGGCAGCCGATACAGCAGGAGAGGAGCATGACACCAGCGATAAGCAGGGGAGAAGAGGCGGGAGGGGGGGGGGGGGGGAGTTGGCCACGGACCCGGATGTCCCACACGGCCACCAGGCCGTCGTCGTAGCCGACCGCCAGACCGAAAGGCCCGGCCCGGCCGGGCGGCAACCAGGCCGCACTGGCCACCGAGGACGAGGGACACACGGGCTGGCTGGCTCGGAGTTGAAGCTCCGCCAGCGACAGGAAGTCCACCGGCGAAGCAAGTCCACCGGCGAAGCCGGTCCTCGGGGCCCGCGGGTCCAGCAGTTCTGCAGTCCCATCGGCCAGGCCGATGGCCACCGGGAGCGTCTGCCCGGTGGTGTGGCTGACCGTCAGGGCCGTCACGCGCGGCAGGGGCCGGCCTTCGCGAATCCCGGCCCCGGGCTCCAGCAGGAAGTCCAATGTCCGGCCGGGCCGATCGACCTCCAGCAGGGCCAGGTGATGGCTCGTGGCCAGGAGTAGCCGCCCGTCCGGGGAGGCCTCCGTGGCAAAGAAGGGCGTATGCTTGATGTCGAAGAGGGGGTCCCCGTGGCGAGGCCGTGCGCAGATCGGCAGTGTGTGCGTGCTGGTATGCAGCGCCTGGAAGTCCAGCCCCGCGCCCGAGCCATCCTCCAAGCCGACCGGGCCCAGGCTGCTGAAGGACACCTCCAAGTCGCCACGGCGGTGGTAGTATCTGGCAGGGTTTTTTTTTTTTTTTTCGTTGAGCAGGTTCGTTCCACATGTCATGGAGTTAGGCCAGGGAGGGGCGGAACAGGGCAAAGGGAGGGGAACGAGTGCGGCGAGGGGGTGCAGCCAGGAGACAGCAGCAAGGCAGGGGGGGGGGAGCAGGCGTGCTGCATGCGGCTCGCGCACCGTGAGATGCAGATGCCGCGGGCGTCCGGTGTCCCGGTCCCATCCAGCTCCGGTGCCCGGGTCAGAGAGTAGGCCAGCTGCGGCACCGCGAGAAAAGGCTCGCCCGAGGAGGGCCCCGGGGCGGCGGTCAGCGAGAAGAAGCTGCGCGGCGGCCCGAGACCGCTCCCGGTGCCATACTCGGCTCCCGTGCCGAGGGCAGGAGGATGGGCCGACGCGTGGCCATAGTACAGCCGAGCGATCGGCACGGCGGGCAGGGCGGCCGGTGCCCGGGGCGGGGGATCCGCGCCATCGAGCATGCTTCCGGCCGCGGGAGGCCGAGCACAGGGAGGGGAAAGAGTGCGCAAGCGAGCCGGAGAGCGACGGGAATCGGGCGACGTCCGGAGGCCCGGAGGGGAGACGGACGCAAGCGGCGCAAGGGAGGCAGAGAGGGAGCGAGGGAGAGAGCGAGGCAGGAGAGCGAGGCCGGAGGGGGTTGGCTACGGGCGTGTGCGTTCGATCTAGCCCCGGCCTGGGGCTGAAAAACCCGCCGCGCCGGCCAGCACCCGGAAGCGTTGGCACTTGGGACCAGGTGCAGGACGAGGTGTTTTTTTTTTTTTTTTTTTCCGTGCCGGACAAGGTTTCTGCCTTTGTATTTGTATTGCGCGGCTGCGCGTGATGGGAGGGGGGGGGGGGCACAAGAGACAGGGGGCAGGGGGCACGGGTCCTTCTAGCGCCCGCCGCCGGGGACATTGGACCGGCGTTGGAGGTTGTGCCGCGCCCGGCGGTTGGCGCCGCCCAGGGCCAGGGAGTCGGCAAAGATCGATGTGGCGTAGAGCGGGGCCCCGACAAGGGAAGACTGGCTCGGTGGCGGGCCAGAGCCAGGCGAGGCGGAGCGGAGCGGGCACGATGTGGCACGACGCGGCACGAGCAACAGATCGGGTCAGTGTGGGGCAAACAAGGGCAACCAGGGGGAGGGAGGGGGGAAATACGCACGCCATGCGAGAGAGCAGCCACCGGGAGGTCCAGCCCGCCCTGCGGGCGCCAGGCCAGGACATTGGCCGAGGGGCGCGGAGTGCCGCCCACTTGGCAGGACCCGCGTCCGGCGATGCGTCCCGGGACCGGGCCCCCCTGCAGGCGCCAGATCGGCTCGGTGGTGACAAGCTGGAAGTCTCGCTGGGTGGGGTTGACCGCGCGGACCAGGGCTGCAGTATGCCGGAGGGTGTGTATGCGCCGGTGAGAGGGAGGGGAGGGGTCAGTGATCTGGGCGAGAGGGCGCGCGGGTATCGATCCAGGCCAGGTCCAAGCCGGAACAAGGAGCACGGCCAGGCGCCGCGTGCGGCGGGCCACACAGAGGAGCGCACCAAGACCCAAGCACTCGCCATCCAGCGAGGGACCTTGTGCGCCACGCACGAAGAAGGGCGCATCCAGGGACCGACCGGGGGGGGCCTCGGCGGCGATGATGGTGGCCGGGCGCCCGGCCTCCAGGACCCCGCTGGCGGCCGCAGACGCCACCAAGCCCACCAGTTGGACATTCAGGGCACGCAGGAGCTCGCCACATGTGGCGGCCTCGATTCCCGGGGCGTCACTCCCGAGCCGGGCCAACAGCTCGTCGGCCGGGCCCTCCAGGGACACACATACGGCCTCCCACCCGGCGGAGCGCGGTGTCCGGAGCACCAACGGCCGGGCACAGGCATCCCGAGCGCCGGGCGCTCGCGCAAGAGGCAGGAAGCTTCGGCGTTCGGTGGCCGGCCAGCCAGCCGGGGCGCCGCTGGAGGCCAGCAGATTCCCCGCATACAGGTAGGTCATGAGGGTCATGGCCCGGTGGTCGTTCGGGCCGTGCTTCAGCATGGCTGCCTGCTCGCGCGGCGTCAGCCGGCCCCCCTGTGCCACGAGGGCCGCGTCATTGGGCGTCAGCCAGGCAATCTCCGGGGCAATGGCGCCGCCGGCGAAGCCATTCCGACCAAAGTCCGCCGGCAGGTCGCGCCGTGTCAGCCGCCCTGGCGTGCCCATGGCATATACCCGTGTGGGATTCAGCATGGCCACCAGCCCCGACAGCAGGTCCAGCCCGGTGCCGCGGACCCAGCCACAGGTGTTCACCACCAGCGGCACGCCCAACGGGGCCAGGTGCTCGTTATAGTGCGCCACCGCGCGCGTGCATGCCGCCAGGAAGCCCTCCGGGTCGCTGTTGGGCGACAGGGCCCCGTAAAAGCAGGAGCTGGTGGGGCGTGCGGGCGCGGGAGGGGGAAGGGGGGGGGAGAGCAGAGGCCGAGAAAGGGGTTGGTTGGAGCATGGCATGTGGCGACAGAGAAACAAGGGGAGAAGAGGCAGGGGGGGGGGGAGGCGGGGGCGCCGGCGCGCGCGCGCGCGCGGGAGAACGCACAACTCTGGCTCCGTCAGGTGCGTGAAGGGCGGCCCAAGGGAGAAGGACCGCGGCACGGTCAGCGAGATGAGTCCCGGGGCCGTGTACTCCGGCTGGCCGACGTCAGTGTCCAGCACGGCCACTGGGTGGCCCCTGGATGGATGATGGGCGAGGCAAGAAGAGACAGAGGGGCAGAGTGTCAGGGAGGCAAAGGGGCAGGGAGGCAAAGGGGCAGGGAGGAGCATTCAGTGCCGACAGGCAAAAGCAAGGGGCAAAAGGAGGAGGAGAAGACAGGAGGGGACAGGCGCACAGTGAAAGCAGGCGGTTGGTCAGCCACCGGCCGAGGGTGCTCTTGCCGGTGTTCTTCGGCCCGGCAAACAGGTACACCGGCGGCAGGCCGATATGCTCGGTGATTTGCCAGGCCATCGGGGCAAAGGTCTCGAAGGGCGGCCAGGTGGCAGCGGCATCAGCGGCAGCATCGCCATCCACGCCCTGGGGCCCGGGGAAGTGTCGGAAGTCGGCAGGACCACGAGCCCGGGCCAGTTCGGTCGCGTGCGCATGCCAAATGGCATGCCGGTATTGGCACAGCTCGTCGGCCACCGTGTCCAGGGCGCTTTGCCAGTCGTCGAAGCGGGCCACCAGAAACCCGGGAGCCGGGCCACCGACGCCAGATTCGCCAGCCGACCAGTCGTTCAGACCCTCGGATGAGGGCGATCCCGAGGCCATGCTCGAGGCCCCGGGGCCCGAGGACGAGCCGCCATGCAGGAACCCCGGCGGGCTGCCGCCAGCCGAGCCGGCTACTCGGTCATCCCCCAACTCGGGGCCCATATTCTGAAGGAGGTATTCCGGGGTGAAGTTCACCCCGCCCAGCAGCAGGGAGGGGTCCACGCCCGCTGCGGGGCCAGGGCCCACTCCCCAGGACGGGCTGGCCGGGAAAGGCCCGCCCGCCGGCCAGTCGCCCGGGCTCGAGTCGCCGGGGGCTCCGGAGCCGGGGGCCGTGCCGAAGAGGTTCTGCAGGCCCTGGATGGCCTGGAGGCAGGCGAACGGGGCCACTGTGCGCGTGGGCAAACGCGTTGACAGCGGTCGGACGGAGGAAGGGTCAGCGGACACGCGGGCACGCGCAGCCAGAGCACAAAGTAGGGCTGGGCGAAAAAGAGAGGAAGAGACAGAGACAGAGACAGGGAGGGAGGGAGGGAAGGAGAGAAGGAAAAACACCTCTGCAGGTGTGACGCACGGTCAGCCACCGACAGGAGCACCAGGCTGTCCCAGGCGTCGAAGCTGCGCACTCGCTCGACGATGGCCTGCACTGTGGCCTGCACCTCGCCAGGATCCACCCCGAAGGCCGGGCCCATGGTTTCCAAGGAGGCGGCCAATTCCCCGGGGAAGGCATCGAGCGACTCTTGCAGGAGCTGGCGCAGGAGTCCGGTTCGGACGCGAGTCAGGCTCACCCCGGCCGGGGGAACATACCGCAGGGAGGTCGGCGCCCCGGCACCGTCGGGGCCCGAGACAAAGGACCCGGGCCCGGGGGTGGGCAGGAGCTTCAGTCGCACGGCGTCCCCCACGGTGGCCGGACAGGGGAGCGCCTGCAGCGAGGCCAGCGCATGCGACGCCGGCGAGTAGACCCCCACACCGAGGTGCGTGGCGTCCGTGGCAGCCAGTGGCGATGCCAGAGGTGGCAGGCTAGGCAGCCGCGGTCCAGCTGCATGCGTTCGATCCAGCACGGCTCCCTGACACTCGACCTGGCCGTGGATGACGCGCACGCGGGCAGCCCCGAGAAAGGAGAGAGTCTTCGTGGACCGAGGGCCAAACAGGGAGGTCGGCAGCATCAGAGTACCAACAGGGGAAGGGGGGGGGCATTTCGGTAAGTATATGTCAGATCATGCGCGTGTTGATGTGTGTGTGTGTGTGCCCGCGTGTATGTGCGAGCGAGCGAGCGAGCGGGCGATCGGGCAGGTGAATGCTTGCCGGGGTCGAGTCGTACCTCCATGGCACGCATGCCGATGATGCTGAACCGCCCGCATGGGCTGGTCCAGGAGTTGGCGGCCGTCGGCCGGAAGGGGCCCGGCACGACGGATACTGTCACCGGCAGCGGGAGATGCCGCAGGGTCTCTCGACTGGGGACGGCCGGGCTTGGGGCCGGAGGTGCCGAAGCGGCGGGCCCCAGGCGCGGGTGCTTGGTCGGCATCGGCCGGCCGGCGCTTGAGAGCGACCGCGGTCGCGTCATCTGCGCGTCTTCCTGAGGGCGGGTAGGGGGGAGGGAGACCAAAGGAGGGGGAAAATTCAACACACAAAGAGAACGAGAGACAGGGAGTATGGGGGGGGGGGCGCGGAGGGGGAAGAGAGGCTGTGTCGTGCGGGGCAGCGCAATCACAGGCCGAGGAGGGGAAATGGAGAGAGGGAGGGAGGCGCTGTCGGCTGCGCCAGCCGGCGGGGGCGATCTCACCCGGCGCAGGCTAAAATAGGGGCGCCCGCGCGGTGCGAGCCCGCGCCTCCAACTGCCGGCGGAGCACCTCGCCCCGCCGTGCTACCAACGCATGGCGAGCCATGGAGGAATGTTGTTTCGTCGCGGCGTCCGGGGCGACCGTGTGAATTAGCCCCATGTGCCAACGACCGCCGGCTACCGACGGAGGCGATCGGCTGCGGCGCACCAGGCCGTTGGCCGCAGGAGGAGGGGGACTGAACGCGGGGGGCTGGGGGCGGGGGCATGCGCGGCGGCGGCGGCGGTGGCAAGGGGGGCGGGCCTCACTCCACCCGGCCAGCCCGCCCCCCCCTCCCCGAGGGGCTTTTTTTTTGACAGACTTGAGTGTGCTGCCCTCGCCCTCCGCGCGCGGGGGCCGGTCATCCTCCCTCCTTATCCCCCCCCCCCCCTCTCCCCCGAGATCACACGCACACACAAACACACACACACACACACACACACGCACTCCCTCTGCATACGCCCTCCCTCGCTCTTTCCCATCCCCTCTCCGCCCCCCTCGCTCGTTGTCCCTCCTTGATGTCGTCCGACAAGCCCCGCACCAACAAGCGGCCTTCAGCCCGGGCGCCCCTTTCGCGGTCGAGCGTGCCTCTGACCGCGACGCCGGCCGGGCCGCCAGCCGGTGACCCGGCCGCACAGTCCGGCCCCCGGTTCCAGATTGCCAGCTCTTCGGGGATCACCTTCGGCGGTCAGCGAGCTGGCGGCGCGGCATCGACGGCTGGCCGCGCCCCGGCGGGGGCCCGGCCGTCGGCTACGCCAAATCAATCCACGACCTCGGAGTCCACGCTGTCCCGTGCGTGGGCGCATCACTCCCGCTGTCCTGCCTCTCCGGGTGGTGTCTGACGCCTCTTCCATTTTGCCGGCCATCTGGCCCCCGGGGCGGTTCGATCGCACAGGCATCTCCAGCAAATGGCGCCAATCGGTGGTCGATTCGATGGTCCTCTCGGCGGTGGTGGATTTGATCGGGCCGGGGGACTTCCGGCCGCCGGCTGTCACCCCGGCCGCCGGCCCGCAGCACCATGTCGCCGACTCCACGCTCATCGCGGCTGTGCGTTCGCTGCTTGTTGTTTTTCCTTGCCCTTTGCTCCTTGCTTGTCTGATCGGCATTCGTGTCCGGCCCATTGGTCCTTGCCCGTGCTCGCACTCCTGTCTTGGGATCTGACGCGCGTTCACCTCCCCCCACCAGGCGATGCTCCTCCGCACAATGGACTATGATGCGGTGCTGCTGGAGCGGGCCGAAGTCGGCCGCTGTGGATATCCCCTCTGTGGAATGCGGATCCAGGTGCGTGGGATCGCCATGCGGCTGTCCTCCCTTTGCCATGCCTGACGGCGGCTGACCGGCCCTTGCCTCCTCCCGTTACTGGGGGGGGCCCTGCTGCCTGTTGTTTTTTCCCCCTTCGCGCCATCTGCGTCAGTCGGTGGATGCGCGGTTTTTGCTGCAAGACGGTGTGCCAAGTCGGCAACCGGTCCCGGACCCTGCGGATGCCGAGGACCTCGACGCTGTGTCCGGCGTCAGGGGCGGGGCCCCGCCTGCCGGTCGTGTTTTCCCCTTTGAGGAGATGTTCTGCAGCATTGGCTGCCAGTCGGCGTCGGAGATTTTCTCGCGGCAGATCCCGGCCGGGCCGCCGCACGCCCGCGCCGGGCTCGACCGCTTGCCGGGGCTCACGCCGCCCGACACCATGGCCGCCTTCGCCGACCGGGGGCTCATGTCCCGGCGGGCGGACATCGCCTGGCGTCAGCTCCAGGCGCAGGCCCGCGCCGCGGGGCCCGGCAAGATCGTGCTCCTTCCCCCGAGCGGCCTGGTGGATGGGTGCGATCTGGTGCTTTGCTCCTCTCCCTGTACCGGCTGGCGGCTGGCTGGGGGCTTTCCTTTGTTGGCGTGGCCGGCTCTCTGACGTTTCTTCCCACCTTTCTTCCCTCCATGGCCCGCTGTCCGGGCGATGGTGCTGGCCATCCTCCGGGCAATCCATCGCCGCATGCCGCACACCTGCCAGGTCGGTGAGCGCCAAGCGGACGCTCGAGGCGTCGGTTCACGACGCCCTGGCCACTTTGGATGCGGCGGCTCGGCGGGAGGCGGCCGACTCGACCGCCCGGGCCATCCTCACGGACGCCAGCGTGGCGGACATCGAGCAGAAGGTGCCGGACCTGCTGCAGGCCGTGGAGAAGCTCGTGGTCAAGGAGCGCCGGCCGGAGGAGGTGGCGGCCGCGCGCGAGGCGAAATCCGCGCGCGCGGTTGGCGACCTGCGTGCCGCGGTCGAGGGGCTGACCCTGACCGAGGCGAAGCCGGCCGCCGGCAGTGCCGCCACCTCGGCCGGTGCGGGCGCCTCGGCCGCTGTCGCTGCGGCGGCCGCCGCCATTGCCACCCCGAGGGAGGATATGGAGTCGGCCGCCGGCGGCGGCTGGTCCGATCTCTCGGACAATGATTTCGACCAGTCGGCCTCCTCCGGGGATGATGGCGATTCCTGGGCCTCGGATAGTGACGACCCTGAGCATGAGGCCGAGGAGGAGGCGGAGGAGGCGGATGACCCGGATGGGGGCCCGGCCGGCGGGTCGGGCGCCGCGGCGGCCTCCGTCCCCAGCGGCTTCCTGTCCATTTCGCTGACAACCAACCCCAAGGCCGGTGACGTGGATCGGGACCTGCCGGCGGCGTTGGAGCGGGCCGGGCAGCCGGCCGAGCTGGCCGTGGCCCGGGCGCGCTCGCTCTTCGGCATCAACATCGCCGAGGCCAAGGAACGCGCGCGCCTGGCACGCATGGTGGAGGGCCACTCGGCGGTGCGCAAGGTTCCCCATGGGCATGGGGCGGATTTGGCGGCCCTGGCCACCAGCGGCCCGGCTCCGCACGAGCCCATGGTCATTGATGGGGCGGCGGCGGCGGCGGCGGCGGCTGCCGGTCTCGAGCCCGGGGTCGGGGCCACGGCCGCGGCCCCGGAGCCGGACATCCGTCTGGATGGGTGGTTCCGGTTTTCCGGGGAAGCCGGCCGCGCCGGGGCCGGGGCCTCGGGCCGGCGCAGTCGGACGGCCCAAGCCTCGCCCGTGGACCGGGTGGAGACCCTGCTGCTGGGGGTGGCGACGGTGTCCAGCCGGGCGGCCCTGTCGGAGGTCCGCGGGCTGACGGCCGCCGGGCGGGCGGTCGAAAAGCGCCAGCGTGCCCCGGGGATTCCCTGCTACTCGGCGGACGAGTGTCGCCAGGGCCTGGAGCGGCTGCTGGCCGGGCAGGCCAGTGTGTCGGGTACGCATCGGCGCGGGGCGGCGGACGAGCGCCCGGCTCCGGGCAGGGTCGCCGCGGCCGCCATCGCAGCCGCGGCCGCCGTCGATACCACCGCGCTGCCGGCCCTGCGGCCCCGCGCGCACGACGGCCTGGCCCCGCGCGAGCACACGCGGCAGGCCCTGCTGGCGGATGCCCTGGTGGAGGCGGTGCGCCAGTTGCACCGGCGCCTGGATGCGCGCCTGCTTGAGCATCACCGCCAGGCCGGCGGGCAGGCTGCCACGCCGAGCCCGGTGGTGGCGGCGGCGCTGGCCGGGCCGCTGTCCTCGGCCGCCGACCTGGACCTGCTGGACCTCGGCCCGCCGGGGACCGCCACCGGGCCCCGGCCCGGGATCGGGGCCCTGCGTCTGCGGGCCTTCGCCGCGGCCTGCTACACGGTCAGCGACTCGGCCGGGCTGGCCGGCGCGCCGACCCTGATGGCGGCGGTCCTGACCCGGGCCCTGCTGGCATGGGACACCGCCCGCACGGCATCCTGGTCGCTGGATGTCGGGCCTGTTGGCGGGGGGCTCTTTGGCCTGGAGCCGGCGGATGCCCGGCTGCCGGATGACGGTGGCGTGCGCTTCGCCTGGCTGGCCGCCTATGCCCCGGCCTTCGGGGTGTCGGTGGTGGCCTCGGCCGATGCCGACCCGCAGGATCAGGCGGACGACCGGAGCCTGGCCCTGGTGGACGATGTGCTGGCGGCCTACCTGGCCGGGTGCCTGGGGACCGCGCCGACCGGGCCGGGCCGAGCCGCGGCGCCCCCCCCGGCGGCCGCCCTGGCCGCCGCGCGCCAGGCAATGCGCACCCTCTGGTGTGCCCTGACGGCCGGGTGAGCGGTGCCGGACAATTGCCAACGCACACACCACCACATAGACCTAGACTCCGAGCCCTTCTTTGTTGCCTCCTTGTCCGCCTGGGGGGGGGGGGGGGGCGATAGGGTGTGTGTGTACACACGGTCGTGCAGGTGTGGCTGTGGTGGAGGTGTCCGAATGTCGCGGCGGGTGGGCGGCGGAGGGGGGGAGCGTCTGACACGCGCGCTAGATCGCTGGGGGGGGGGGGCTTTTTTTGCGGGGCGATCTCCTGCAGTGACCCGGCCCGACGGCCGGAAGAGGGGGGCAGATCCCCTCTCGCCGGGCCTTTTGCACTCCTTCTGCATGGCGACTGCTCCCTGCCCCTCCCTTTCTTTCTCCCTCCCTGCCCCCGCTCCCTCCCTCGCTTGTCGCCGCCCCCTCCTGCCCCGTGGCCCCCTCTCGCCTGCCTCACTTGGCCACCCCCTCATCGAGCATGATGGCCTCGCCCGGCGCCGGGCCCGCTCTGACCATCAGCCAGCCGCTGCTGGCGGCATGTGCTCGGTGGTCCGGGTGCGGGCGCTTTCTGGCTTGCCTGGCGCCACAGGCCGGACCGCCCTCGCGGACCGGAGGGCCCCCGCTGCCGGGCTTCGACCTGGCCGTGTGGGCTCCCTTCAGCCAGGAGGGCGGCCCGCGCCTGGTGGTTCGCAAGGCCCTCCGCGCTCCAGGGGCGGCGGCGGCCCCGCGCGAGCCGCGCGTCGGCTGGTCCCCCTGCGGAGGGTTCTTGGTGGTGTATTGGCGCCAGGAGGCGGGCTCCGGGCCGGCCACCGAGCCCCAGCCGCCCGCCGGTGATGGGAGCCTCTTCCAGGCCGGCGTGGTGACGGTCTTCCGCTTGGTGACCAGCTCCGATGGCACGCGCGTGCGCCTCTCCCGGCATCTGATCATCGATGATCTGCAGCTCGGCCTCGGGCAGGTCCTCTGGGTTGGTGGCCCCCCGGCGGGCGGGCCCGATGTCCAATTGGTCCTTGTTTCTGGGCAATGCGTGCGTTTGTCGGTGGCGGTGGTCGGCAGCTGCTACTGCCCCGCTGCCTGGCCTTGCTTCTTCGTTGGCCTCATCTCCCTCCATCTCTCCCTGTCACTCACTCCCTCGTGCTCTTTTTCTCGCGCCTGCGCCCCCCGGCTCCCTGGCTCACCACCCGCGCCCTGCCGCCTGTGCTGATCTCCCCGGGGCCGTAGCTTCAGGCGGCCTTCTGGCCGATGGACGGGGCAACGACGGCCACCGCGCCAGCCAGCATTGTCATTAACCCGGCCACTGGCCGCGATGGCCGCGGTGCGTGCTTCCCCCCTTCCCCCCCCCCTTGTGCTCCCTCGCGCTGCTGCCCCCTGACCGTAAGTGCCCCTCCATCCTGCCGCGCGATCGCGCGCGCGTGCGCGCACATGGGCCCCTGTGTCGACGTTGGATGTATACATACACACACACATGCACACACACACACACGCACACACACATATGCGCGCACATGCCCGCAGTTCTGCTCGCGCAGGACCCGACATCCGGGCGCTTTGCCCTGGTCGAGCGCAGCCTCCCAGCTGGCCGACCGGCGATTGTGGTATTCGCCGGGGCCGCCCGGCCGGAGGTCCTCTTCCGGCAGCAGCTCCAGGGCTTCGTGGCCCCGGAGACGGTCAGCTGGTCTCCCTGCGGGCGGTATCTCTCGGTGACCGAGAGCCCTCTGGGCACGGTGCGCGCCCAAGCCTGCCTCCCTCCCTCTGCCTCTTTCTTTTCCGCCCGCTCCCTGGGCTCCGGCCAGCCTTGGTGCCGCGGCTCAAACTAACTCCCCATGTGTGCTGCCGCTGGCGGCTTGACATGCCCAAAGTACCGGTTCTGCTCTCTTGACACGTACCTGTGGCAGATGGTGCGTCCATCGGCGCACGTGGCCCACGCCGCGATCCTGGTCACCGGCGATGGAGAAATGCTGCCCCTGGGGGGAGGCGGCGCCGGCGGCGGCAGCAGCGGCGCCGGTGGGCACGCGGGTGGCGGGCGTCCGCGCGCCGGGTCCGCCTCGCTCCTGTCCCCGGCCACGGCATCTGCCACCGGGTCGGAGGCCAGCCGGCCCGGCATGTCTCGGCCACTGGGCCCCGGGCGCGCGCCCTCCGAGCACCTTTCCTCGTCGATGGCCTCCGGCGGCCCAGGAGCCCGGTCCCTGGGTCTGAGCAGCAGCTTGGCCTCGGGACCCGGGCTTCCGGACGCCGGGTCGCCGCTGCACCCTTCGCGACGCCACATCGCCGGGGGGGTTCGGCAATTGTGCTGGTCGCCGGCGCACAGCGGTGCCGAGCGCCCGGGCCGGGCCCTGCTGGCGTGCCAGCGTCTGTTGGATGGCGAAGTCCGGCTCTTTGGCGGGCCGGTTTTCGAGGCGCTCACCGGGCCGACGGCTCCCAGCGAGCCGCTGTGGTCCGGCACCGGCAGCTCCTTTGCCTTCGGTCGATCGGCCACCGGGGCTGGGGAGCTGGCCGTGGCGGCGGCCGCTCAGCCGGTTGCCTCGCTGCTCGGCGCTGCCGGCGGCGCCGGTGCCCAGGCCGGGGAGGCCCCCGCCTCGACGCGCTCCTGGGCCGAGTTGGCCTCCCTGGCCTTCAGTCCGGATGCCGCGTCCCCGGGCGAATGTGTGCGTTCAGGCCGATCGCCCGGCTGCGCCGAGGCATTTTAGCTTTTTTTTTCTGTTTGACCTTCCTATTGACGTGCCCTGCCTCCGGCATATGTGTGCGTGTGCGTGTGCGTGTGCGTCTGTGCGCGCGTGTGTTTATGTGGGTCAAATGTGTGCGTACGTGTGCACCTCCATGGGCCCGTGCCACGACGCAGTCCATCTTCCTGGAGGAACATTTGAGTGAGGGAATCAAATGTGCGTGTATGTGTGTGGGTGCTGCCCGCCTTCTTCGGCCTCCTGCGGCTTCGCGCCAGGAACTGACCTCCTTCTTGTTTGGGGATCCCATGTGCACTGGGACCGGCGCGCGGGCACCACCCATTCCCCCCCCCCCCCCCTTCCCCCCCGCACGGTAGATGCCGTGCATGCAAATGGCCCCGACACGGGGGACCGGCTGCGCGAGGTGCTGACCATGCCGTCGGTGCGTCTGGCGCACTTTGCCTTGCGACCGCCGGAGGAGGCCGGAGATGCCGGGCCGGTGGATGTGCCCTTTGTTTCGGACAAGACGGCTGCTGCCTTCGAGGCATTCGCCCTGGAGTGCCTGCATGGACCGCCGATGTCCTTCAGCCCGACGTGTGCTCTTCCGATCTGTCTGGCGCACTTTGCCTTGCGACCGCCGGAGGAGGCCGGAGATGCCGGGCCGGTGGATGTGCCCTTTGTTTCGGACAAGACGGCTGCTGCCTTCGAGGCATTCGCCCTGGAGTGCCTGCATGGACCGCCGATGTCCTTCAGCCCGGACGGCCGGTGGCTGGTGGTGGTGTCCGGTACGGCTGGACCCTGGCCCTGCGTGGTTCCCCGCGCCCCCTTTCTTCCCGCGCCGCGCCTGCGCCCTGGTGGAATGCTGACCATGGCGAAGGCCAAATCCCGAATGCCGTCCTGGTGTGGGACATCCTGGGCGAGTCGCCTGACCCCGGAGCGACGGACCCGCGGCCGCACTACCGCGCTCCGGGCCTGGTGGCGGTGCTGGAGATCGGAAGAGCGTCGTGCCGCGCCTGCGCCCTGGTGGAATGCTGACCATGGCGAAGGCCAAATCCCGAATGCCGTCCTGGTGTGGGACATCCTGGGCGAGTCGCCTGACCCCGGAGCGACGGACCCGCGGCCGCACTACCGCGCTCCGGGCCTGGTGGCGGTGCTGGCACACCGGTCATCGGTGGCCTCGGTGGCCTGGCGCCCGGCGCTCGACAGCCAGCCCCCCGGCCTGCCGGAGCTTTGGATTGCCACCCGCCAGCCGGGGGTCCTCTTCCGCTGGACGCCCCTCGGAGCGGATGTCGTGCACCTGCCGCTCGGTGAAGCCGGCGATGCCACTTGTGCGTGCTTCATCGCCCCTCCCCCCCCCCTCCCTCCTCCCCTCCCTGCCGCCCGTGTGAGGTGAGGCCTCTCGATGTGGGGGCCTCCTTTTTGTCCATCTGCCTTGCCCCTCCTTCTTTGTGCTTTCCCCCTCCCCCCTCCCCCTTGCTGCCGTTGCTGACCCAGACACACGGCTGGGCCAGATTTCCTGCCCTCCTCCCTGCACTGGGCCCCACGCCGGGGCAGCCCCAATGCCTGTCTGGCGATCGTCGGCCATGCCCTCTCGCCGCAGGCCCCCGGCCCGACGCCCGCCTCACGGGGGCTGGTCCTGCTCTGGGCCGGCGCCGCCTTGGGCCCCGAGGACGCTGGGCGCCCGCGGCCACCACGGCCAGACCCGGCACCGGCCGTGGCTTCCTGACGCGCGTTGGGGGCCAGCGGCGGGGCGCCGGTTTATGTGCCAATGTACTCTGCCGAGAGTTGGCACTCCCAGCATCCTCCCCGGTTCCGGCACAGTGGCGGACAACTTTGGGGCTTCGCGGGGCGGGCGGGCGGGCGGGCGG